GCGATACTTTTTACTGTTTTGAAACACAAATATTTGTGTTCAGCGAAATCTCCCGAGTACAACAGTACCCCTCATGTACAGGTTTTATGGTGTTTTCAAAAGTTACAGCGTCAAATATAAGGCTTGCGTTTCATTTTTTTCACATTAAAATTCGCCAGATTGGTTACGTTGCCTTTGAGACCCTATGGTAGCCCAAGAATGAAAATGACCCCTATGATGGCATACCATTTGCAATAGTAGACAACCCAAGGTATTGCAAACAGGGTATGTCCAGTCTTTTTTAGTAGCCACTTAGTCACAAACACTGGCCAAAATTGGCGTTTTTTGCATTTTTCACACACAAACAAATACTAGCGCTAACTTTGGCCAGTGTTTGTGACCAAATGGCTACTAAAAAAGACTGGACATACCCCATTTGCAATACCTTGGGTTGTCTACTATTGCAAATGGTATGCCATTATGGGTGTAAATTTCATTCCCGGGCTACTATACAGTCTCAAAGGCAACGTAACCAATCTGGCGAATTTCAATTTCAAATGTAACGTGCTATATTTGACCCTGTAACTTCCCAAAACGCCATAAAACCTGTACATAGGGGGTACTGTCTTACACGTGAGACTTTACTAAATACAAATATGTGTATTTTATTGCAGTAAAATCAAACAGTATTATGACACTGACCTTTAAAATGCAATTTAGAACTAAAAAAATCAAAACAAATCGTATTTTCTCCCATTTTTTTCATATTAAATTATGTTTCATAGCTAAATATTTGATATTAAATGAAAGCCCTGTTTCCCCTGAATAAAATGATATACAATAAGGGTGGGTGCATTTACTATGAAAGAGGTGTATTACGGTTGGACAGACATGTAGCGCAAATGCCAGGTTTTGTTTACATTTTGTTTTGTTCACAATGTGTACATTTGGCTCCGTCCTTAAGGGGTTAAACAACTGTATCTTAAGGAAGCAGTTTTAGTGTATAGATCATGATCCTGCAGTCTCACTGCTCAAATCTCTGCAATCTAGGAGTTAAATCCCTGTTGTTTCTGTCCATGCGGCCCTAGTCACACCTCCCCTGGCTGTGACTCACACACCATGCATAAAAAAAAAAAAAAAGGTTTCACTTTTAATAAGATGTAACTTACTTTAAAAGTTCTTATTGCTTGCTCTCTAAAATGAACTTTAATCATACACAGAATGATTCTGTGGGGTCTAGCAAGTTATCAAAAGTGCAGGGGATAATAAACCTTAAATTAAATATAATTTACAATGAAGGAAGTATAAACGTTAGCTGACTTTTTACAGGAAGTATTTAGGAAGGCTGTGCAAGTCACATGCAGGGAGGTGTGACAAAAGGTGCATAAATAAAGTGATTTAACTCCTAAATGGCAGAGAATTGAGCAGTAACACTGCAGGCAAATGATCTATTCACCAAAACTGCTTCAATAAGCTAAAGTTGTTTTGGTGACTATAGTGTCCCTTTAACATCTAATCCCTAGTCCAAAAGATGGACTTTATCAATATCCTAGTGAGGGGATAATATTAGAATCATGCGGAGTTCATTATATATATATTCAAGAACATAGCTAGTCTCATCTAATACGGTAACAGGATGGGCTCAATTAAATAATTACAGTTCTCACACACTTAGACTCAATAGGATTACAACACAATTAAATATATACATCTTATACTGTTTAATACGAGAATGCAGGATACAAACCAGAGATAAGATATTATATAAAATCAAAGGTACAAGTGACTAGATCTCCAGAGAGTTCCCTCCATTTTTTACTAAGTAGCAGAGAAGTCCATGACTCTCTAATTATAAATAACTCAACAGGAATAAAAACATACAGTATTATCTCCAATAATACTACATTACACACTCTACATGCTGGTAGAATGTGACTACACCTACTGCACACTGGCAGAGTCTCACTACTTTCCAGTCTCATTTATAATAATAACATGTTCAAAATCAACAGGGGGACAAAGCACAGCTGGAAGTATATAAGCAGACAGACAAGAAATTCTGTTTACTCACCAGCATATAGCGCTATCTCGTTGTTGATTCAGCACGAGTTGGACTTCTATGTAATTTAGCAATCTCTTATTTGTCCTGTAATCCCTTTGCAGTGCTGGAAAGAAGCCACCATGACACATGTTGCTCACAGTAACATCTCCAAATATCTTTATTACATATACAAATATATAGTTTTTTTTTTTTTTTTTTAACAAGGCATGCTTTTATCCTTTATGCAATCAGATAGTTACACCTGTTCTTAATGAATAGAGAATGTAGTAAAATTTAAGTGAGGTGTTTGGACTTTTCTGCTGTTAACAGCTAGATCAGCAGTCTGAGGATGTTTAATTGTAGATTATACTAGCTTTAGTGTAACTATAATCTTAATTTTATTAATGACAGGGGGCGAATATTTTCTTAAGTCTTTCTTTACGAGAAGTCCACAGCAGCACATTACCAGAGAGAAAAACACCAGAGACAAAAAAACTCAGGAATCCATAAAAGGCTTCTCCCAACCAACTAATTCCTCTTTCACGCTGCGACAAAATAAAGTACATGAACGAAACACCACAAATACAATAACAAGATAAACAACATAAGATAACGATGAATGCCATCCGAAATTGGAAATGTGGAACCAGTGGATGAAGACTTGACCTTTATCCTGTAGAATAGTCGGATCCAAGAACTGTAGCCGAAACTGAAACGAGATAAACAGAGTCGAAAACACTGATTAGCGAATGAAATGTACTGAGAAAAACATGATCCCCATCGTCAATACTGACAGTATAATATCCAAGATATTGAGAAAACATGAATCCCCATCATAACATACTGACTGTACCATATCCCAGATAAACCCTAACTCCCCCAGATTAACAAACCTAGCCCAGGAGACCAGGAATAAACAAAAGTCAGTCAAACCAACCAACAAACCAGGGAAGGGAGAAACTGGGAGGTAAACATTCGCCTCCTGTCATTAATAAAATTGAGATTATAGTTACACTAAAGCTAGTATAATCTACAATTTTAGAACATGACAGGAGGCTTCATATTTGCTGTTTTAACACTCGGACAGCAAAGCCCAAAGAAACACGATCCACTGTACCAACCTAACTTAGCGAAGATAGTTCCTGTAACCGGCAGGAAAGTGTACAACGTCCTGGAGAAAAATGCCCGCCATGACGGCGCCTGAAGTCGCCGAGTACCAACTGAAATGAACCGAAAGACCTATACGTCCCGCCAATGCCAACAACCACCGGGCGGTACATGAAGGGCGAAGAAAAGGAAAAGAACCGTCTAAACAAAAGGTGGCATCGACCGCAACATAAAAAAAAAGGTTACGCAACCAAGACAAGAGTATAACCCTTGGGTCCGACTAGAGCCGATAGACAACTAAGGTCTGAACATCAGAATCCATTTGAAAGAAGAAAAAAAAAGGGTATGATAAGGGGAACAAATCCAGAGTCGGAGATGGCCAAAAAACGATGAAAATTGGCGAATGAGGCATGACAAAACGCGTGTACCCCTTGGGGAAATGAATACCCGTCCTCGGGAATCGAGAGGACTCACACCCCTATGAACCCGCATGTCTAGCTCGAAGGGAGATACCAACAGAGCGAGGCCTACCGAAACAGTTGTGCGCCCTACCTAATCTAAGTGATACAACAGTCCCCGGTCAATAAAAACGAGTGTAGGCACCGCCGCAGGCCGTACTCCGGATCTCCTGTATACTAGACAGGTGTTGCCACCAGGAGAGCCATAGCGGCCCATTGGGGTTTAAGTCTGTGTACGAGGCTACTTTGTTCGGGAGCCCGGCTGGGTACACGTCTCCAAGTATCTTGCGGGCTTCTCAAGTCAGTGATTTACAGTCCCAGCAACATACCGATGGTGCTAGGTGCCCGGGCCGAGACCCTTCCGAAGAAATGAGCAATTGGTCGAGGGTCGCATAGGGGTTCGTTTAAGGCGACCAACGGGATGACCTCTTTTTCTACAGTCATTGGAGCCCCTGTAATGGGCTTGTTCTCCGTCCCACGGTACCACTCATCATAGTCCACCCCTCATCGTCCTCTCCTTCCGAGAGGGACCGGTCCGCCCGCCATTCAGCTAGGATGGCCGTGGTGGGGTCATGAGGACTACCACCCCTGCGCCACCTAGGCAGTGTAGTCTGGCCGCTGAGGCCGATCGTATCGGGGTTAGCCGCTTCTCCGGAGTCTAATCTGTCCGGGTGCCTGGTTTAGGGCCTTCACCCCTCCAGTAGCGCTTGTGCACACTTGACTGCTCTCCTCTAGGAGAGTCTGACTCATTCAAGTTGTCTGACTTTATTAAAAAGGTGGTTACTGCCGTGTCCAAAGGACACCGCCTCCCTATAGGCAGTGCCATCCAGCCCAATTGCATCAGGGTTAGACGCTTCTCCGGAGTCTATCTTCCGGGCGTCTGGTTTAGGGCCTTCACCCTCCCAGTAGCGCTTATGCGCACTTGCCTCAGGGGGGTTTGACTCCTTCAAGTCTCCTGCCCTCTTTAGAAGGTGGTCGCTGCCATAGTAGGCGTTGCCTGTGTGCATTCCCCCGAATGAAGGGTTGACCGTGGAGTGGGTATAATGGACAAGTGTCACTGGCAGCAGCATCGGGGCAGCACCCCATCTAGTGACAGAGGCATATTTGGCAGCGCATGCAATGTCCAAGCGTGAGTGTATAGTTGCAAGGCTTGGCATGCAGATATTCTGGCACAGACAACGCAGGCTAGATCAATGGGGCACAGACAAAGCAGGTCAATCAATGGGGCACAGACAAAGCAGGCCAATCAATACGGCTCTGACAAAGCCGGCCAAATCCTTGGGCACAGACAAGTCAGGCCCTACGGGGGTGCATAGGCGATAAACTGCCCTTCCATTCTTCTGATTAATTGTACAATTCACTCTTCGGAGAAGATGTACCTAACACTTCTTCAGATTAATGGCACGTAACATTCTTCAGTGTGACTGCACGTAACATAACTGTACATAGCCTTCTTCTGCGTAACTGTACCCACATTCTTTTGCGTAACTGTACCCAGCATTCTTCTGCGTAACTGTACCCAGCATTCTTCTGCGTAACTGTACCCAGCATTCTTCTGCGTAACTGTACCCAGCATTCTTCTGCGTAACTGTACCCAGCATTCTTTTGCGTAACTGTACCCAGCATTCTTCTGCGTAACTGTACCCAGCATTCTTCTGCGTAACTGTACCCAGCATTCTTCTGCGTAACTGTACCCAGCATTCTTTTGCGTAACTGTACCCAGCATTCTTCTGCGTAACTGTACCCAGCATTCTTCTGCGTAACTGTACCCAGCGTTCTACTGCGCAACTGCACATAGCGTTCTTCTGCGCAACTGCATAAGCGTTCTTCTGCGCAACTGCATAAGCGTTCTTCTGCGCAACTGCATAAGCGTTCTTCTGTGCAACTGCATAAGCGTTCTTCTGTGCAACTGCATAAGCGTTCTTCTGTGCAACTGCATAAGCGTTCTTCTGTGCAACTGCAAAGAGCGTTCTTTTGTGTAGCTGTGCACAGCATTTTTCTGTGTAACTGTACACAACATTCTACTGTGTAGTTGTACATAGCATTCTACTGTGTAGATAACGGTCTTCAGATGACTAGTGCCTAACACTCTTTGTGAACTGTAGCCAACTCTTCTGTAACAGAGTGAAAGAAACAGCTTTTCCATAGGAAAACAGAGAAAGTGAGGTTGAAGAGATGAAGTGCCTTACTCTAAAGGGCTCAAACCGAACACTCCAGAAATATTATTTATAGTAGTGACATTAGAATTTCCAAAAGGCAAACTCTTACAACCTGCCTCCCCACCGGCAGGCCAGACCAAGAGCCCTGCGGTGTGGGGAGGCCAAACGAGGTCGGGAGCCATCGCTCCGACGTGGCCAGGAGCCGTCGCTCCCACTCCAGCCGCGGCCGCGAAAGATAACTGCTTCCCAGCGGTACGGGGAGCATGAGAGGGAGACAGGCGGAGGGGCAGTTGAGACACCCACGTGGGACCGCCGGAGTCCTTCTCCACGGTCCCGGGGGCTGGACAGGACGGGAGGCTGTACTGAACTGTTCCCCGCCGGCTGCTAGGAAAACAAAGACAACAGGAAGAAAACAGAAGGAAGCCAGTAAGAACCGAAAGAAAACGAAAGTGAAATGCCTGCAAGGAGAGCAGGGAAAAATAGAGGGAGAAGGGTGGAGGAAGGCACCCATACAGACCCCACAGAAAAAGGTGGGGAGGTAGAAAGAGCAGACAAGAAGAAAACACCTGCAAAAGGCATAATAGATGACTTCATCTCATAATATAAATCCCAAAATCAACAGACACTATCAAATCATGAAAATCAAATCATACAATCAAACCATGGAATTTAAATCATACAATTAAATCATGAACCTCAAATCCTAAAAGCAAGTCATACAATCAAATCCTGAAATCAAATCATGAAAACTAAATCATACAATCAAAGCATGAAAATTAAATCATAAAATCAAACCAAATCTTAAAAATAAATCATAAGATCAAATACAAGTAAAAGTATATATATATATCACACAACCACCCATATAAAACATGAGGCAGTGGTACTCTGACCTGTACTGTCTGCAGAGCAGCAAAGAAAGAGGAATTAGTTGGTTGGGAGAAGCCTTTTATGGATTCCTGAGTTTTTTGTCTCTGGTGTTTTTCTCTCTATGTTAATGTTCTAGTAAAGAGAGACTTAAGCAAATATGAAGCCTCCTGTCATGTTATAAAATTAGGATTTTACTGCTGTTATCATGCAAACAGCAGTTAGGGGCTGGGATTTAGGAAAGCAGGTATAAGGTCCAAAGTTGTAAACAACCAAAAAGCTTACAATGCTAAAACTTTGAAACTTAGTCTAGGGATTAATTCACTCACATATTATAATTTAAAAAGCATAAATATAATAACATTTCATCACACCCCAATCAGACAACTAGTCCTGTTACTTCCTGGTTGTTTAGCTCATTGGAGCTAAACTCAAGAGGCAGGGAATTGCTCAGAGAAAGTCTGGGCAGGGTTAGAAGGGGGTGGGGTGGCTTGCAAAGGCAGCAGACAACGAAAATGCAGCTTTTGCAAGCCTTTTTTTTTAGATATACTACAAATAAAAACAAACATGCATGTAATTATATCTACTAAGCTGTGATATTATTTATTCCATTTACAGAATTCCCAGTGTTGCTTAATGAGAAGTCTTTGCCAGGGAAGTGCTCTGGGCCTGCCTCCTGAGTTTAGCCTTACTGAGCTAACAGCACTTCTTGTCTAAATGATTGCCAGGGAGTTAGCAGGATTCATTTATGAAAGTGTAATTTTCTTTTCCAATCTGCACTTTTTGTAAAATTAAAAAAGAGGACACAATTGTCCCTTTAAGACACTTTGCACTGCACGCTGGATTAAACATATTCAGAAAAATGTTTTTTTAAAAAGACCTGCCACAAACTGTATTGCAATTTACAAAGCATGAGTACTGACACAAGAGCACACTCCAATAATCTTCCTCACAAGAAATACTAACAAAAATCACAAATCTGTAAAATAATGATATCTAAATCAAATAATCAACTTGGTTTAAGTGCAGCACACTAGGATCAATTAAACAATTTAACAGTATATGTCTCTCTCTCTCTCAAAGTTGGTGTAAATGGCACTGGTAGTGGCTAGGCACAGCAGTAACCTAACCAACCAGACACTCGGATCAATTAAACAATTAAACAGGTACAATTCCCTCTCAGATTTGGTGCAAGTGGCTAGGCACAGCAGTAACCTAGCCAGTCTCACACTAAGATTATTTCATTAACCATGCTATATCTATCTCCCAAAAATAAGTCCTGCACCCAAAGTCCCACTACTCCTGGGCAGCAGCAACGACCCTAGCACACATCAGCCCCAATACATACAATGTAAAACAAAGAACAAAAAGTGTTACCTGCACAGTAGCCCAAATCCTTATGCATATTTAAATAAATGGAGGTTATTTAGTAACTCCAATGGGCATTAGATGCACGCCTACCTGTCATGACAAGGTGGGTCCTACACTAACAATTCACCTTCAGCTTCAGGCAAAGACTTGTTTTTTGTGCATTTGTATTCACTTTTGTATCACACAGCCATGTTACAATGCCACCATCCATTCCATGTGCTCCCTATTAATAAGATTTCTTTGCCTGAAGCTCAAGGAAGCAATGTGATTTGTTAGTGTAGGATCCACCTAAGAGGTTTGCCTTGACGTGGTAGGTTGGCTTACATCTAATGGCCATTAGAGTTACTAAATATCCTCCATTTATTTAAATATGCATAGGGATTTGGGCTAGTGCACAGGTAACGGTTATTTTCTTTGGTTTTTATTATTTCTATTCCCCACTCAAAGTTGATGTAATTAACAGGACATTATATGGCATAGCAGTAACCTGACCACAAAGGGATGCATACAAAAATTAAATAGTGACCACTTCCTCCCAGCAGCACTTGCGCTGGGCGGCATTTTTTTTTTAAAAGGGGCCCGGGTGCGCTATACCACGGCCACAGCGCTGACTGGGCCCCTGAAGATATGGGGGCCCATCGGGTGGCCCTAAGTGCGTGGGCCACCCGATGGGCCCCATCAGCATGTGGTTATGGTTGTCACCCCCCGATGGCGGCCCTGTACGAATTTATTTTGAGTGGGGTAATTTTTTTACTTCTTGTAATTTTATTTCAAGAGTAGGTTGTAAGTAGTGTAAGCACTGTAACTGCTTCATCTCATTGAAGTGGTTGTAGTATCTAGAGTCCCTTGCACTGTCCCTCCATTCAACGTTACACAGTTTTTAATGTTTTAATACAAAGTGAGAGTTGCCAGCCTAGTACCTAGGTTGCGATAGGCTAGGCCATGACCAAACAGAGAAGTGAGAAATCTCAAAACATGACCAAACGCCATGTGGTCTCCTCCCACCGGAACTGTAGGAAATGTTGGCAATCCTTGGCCATCGGGACGGTGAGGTATCTTGCAGGTCAAGTTTGACCATCCAATCCTCCAATAGGAGCAGATCTCGGAGAGAGTGGATGCCCTCTATTTTGAAATGGTGGTACGCTACAAAGGCGTTTGGGGGGGCGTAATTTGATGACCGGTCGGACACCTCCACCTTTCTTGGGCACCACGAAAAGGTTGATTAGAAAACCTGAAACTCCCGGATGCGTCTCTATGATTGCACCTTTGGCGGCCAGAGATTGTATTTCTGCCGTGATTAATGCTCTGTCGTGGGTGGAGGAGACTATATGTCTGGGAACAGATATCTGGGCAGGTGTTTGTACAAATTCTATGGCATAACCCACTACAGTTTGTAGGACCCAAGTATCCAAAGTCAACATGCGCCAGGCATCTATAAAGTGGTATAACCTGCCCCCCACCAACGTTACTGAAGGTAGTGATGAACGAAGTGAACTTACCATAAGGGCGTCGACCATAGGAAGAGCTTTTGGATCCACGAGCCTGCCAGGATCTTACTCGAACTGGGAAGAATGGAGAGGACTTGGGTTCCGTACCCTGGTAACGTGACTGGAAGGACCCTCTACAAACCCGGTACAAGCCCCGGGAGGAACGGCCGGGAAGATGGCCGCGCCAAAAACTCTATGGGAGAATACCTTTTTCATATTGGCTTGCACCTTGTCCAGTGCAGTAAATGTGCCCACATAGGTACCCAGCTCCTTCACAAAAATGTCCCCAAAAAGAAGGCTTTTGGCCTGTGGCCCAGGCTCAGTAATAGCCAAGGTAACTAGCTTTGGCTCAATCTTAATTAATATAGCCTTTCGTCTCTCCGTGGCTAGAGCTACGTTGGCATTTCCGAGTAGACATATGGCTCGCTGTATCCAGCCCCATATAGCTAGCAGGTCTGCGGGAGCACCACCTGCCAATGCCGTTTCGACCATGTTGCATATCTTTACACTGGGTCCAAGGACATCCAGTACCTTATCCTGGCAATGGTGAAGTGCAAAGTCTAGACCTTTCTTCCACCCAGTTTTTCCCAGGAACTGGGCAATCTTAGGGTCCACTACAGGGGCAATACATATCAAATCTGGGAGCGTGGGGAGTGGGCATTCTGCCTTCATCTTGCTTCTTGCCACCTTATCAAGGGGTTTCCTGATACGTGCGCTAATATATTTTGCCACATGGTCTAGCGGGAACCACTCAGTTGATCTCGGGTGTTGCAGAGTATCAGGGTCAAACAGTGGTTCGCCCTGTGGGTCAAGGAGGGTGGAGTCTTCCCCACCATCCTTATCCTCAGTCACAGACATAGATAGAGAGCTGTGGTAAGGGAATTGTGTGCCCAAATTGTATGAGTCCTCATCATCAGACTCGCTCTATGCCTCCTCCTGTTCCGAATCTGACTCGGATGATTCCACTTTGGCTTTCGCCCTTTTCCAACTCCTCACCGATTTTTGCCCGGTGGGTGGCTCTTTGTTGTGGTGCAACCACATTATCTTTGACAGGATATTCCCTGTCCGTCTGCATGATTTTGGAGGCTTCCTCATCTA